GTCGTGTGTGTGATTTCTCTTTCTGCCTGGCTCCTGGGTTTGTAGGGACACTGTCTGCTCTGTGGTACAGAGTCCTGATCACTCCTAACTTGTGTTAGGAAAATTGGAAAACAATTAAAGTTTTCCATTTTACAGTAGTAGGTGCTCCAGTAGTGACAGTTCTCCATCTCACGTCATCACGGAGTTCAGATTCAGTGAGGATGAAGTGGTATTTTATTACAAAGATGCACCAAGCTCTTAGATCCAAGGTAGTTATTTTTTTGGGAAGAAAAGTCATGAGGAACCAGTTTGTGAGCTTGATGGACTTCCATGAGATTGTGCCTCAATCCTGTGAGGTCAGTGGGAGGGAGGGCCTATCAATTTGAATACATGTATTGTTTTCCAAATTGAGTCCTGCAGACATGATGGCCAGGGTGAGAGTCACAAAAGATAACATTATCATTAATACAAAAGAACTGGAGAGAGAGAGAGAGAGAGAGAGAGAGAGAGAGAGAGAGAGAGAGAGAGACGTCCAGCTGAAAACAAAAACAAGATTGAGAAACAAAATGGAGTTTGAGAGGTAAAATAGGATTAAAGAAACAGTTTTCTCTCCAGAGTCAAGTAAGATCCAAAGATCATTTGATCCCAAGTAAAGTGGTTTACCCACATAGAAACTTCAACTGCAACTAAAACGTTCAAGGCAATAAACTTTCGCAAWATTTTAAAYGAGCTATCATAAAACTTAAAACTACCTTTTCATTTAATGAAATTGTACAATGTTTTGGTTTTCTTATTTTATACGTGCACTATGTTTCAGTGTGAATAATTATGTTTAAACAATGTCCAACCTTTGTCAAACTTATGTTTGACTGCTTTTTCATCTAAACTGATCTTTACCACAATAAATGCTCCTAATGCAGTTTTGTAACATTCCCTACCTTTACGCTGAAATACATCACCAATTAACATGTCTTGAGGTCGACCAGCATAGTCTGTAGCTTTAACCAACATGGCCTCCTTCATGGCCTTCAACCCATTGATGACCACAGCTGGTCTGGTACCAAGGAACAGACTGTAGACATTTCCATAGGTCTGTCTGAGCTGCAAAAAAACCAAACAAAAAAATACATCAATTTCTAAAGAAAGGAATTTATTCCAATCTGTTCTGAGGGAAATTAAACAGCAGAGTTAACTATGACCCCCGCACGCGAAGCATAAGCAGGAGTCATTGTTTTCGTGCTGTTTTTTTTTCAGTGATTTTTGGTCAACTGTAGCGCAAAAACGGCTGCACCAATCAACATGACATTTGGCAGGACTGTAGGTGAGTCCGACCTACACTGTGCCAGCCAACAGTTTTACGATACACCCCATATTTGAGGAGGGGAGTCTTTTCAAAAAGGAGGTTTCTGGACATGCAAAAATGCTTATAACTCAAAAACTATTTACATAGAAGCTTCAGATTTCTTTTGTTGTTTAGCCCTGATAAAGCTCTATCCTTCGGCTCAACCAATGCAAACCCCCCACCCAAAAAAACACCCCCACCGAAGCCACTACAATTTTGGGATGTATCTAGTAGCATGACATTTATTAGGAATAAAGACTTATGAGTTCTGGTGCATTTGTGCGTGCGAGGGTCATTATGTTACTGCTATGCGGTGTCTAGTTATTTTCTGTTTTTTATTGTGGTAGTCAATTTAAATAACGAGTTGATCATAAAATCACATTAAGTAAAAAAATAGTCCAACTTATTCAGCAAATTGCATCMCATTTGGGGTCAAAGGTCAAGTGACTGCAGACTCTTTGTACAATGATTTTCTGAATGTGATTCCAAAACAGCCAAAGTCCAACAAAACACCCACTAAAAGGACTTCTGACAACACAAACAACTCATGACCAAAATACTTGTAAAAATGAGGGATGAGTTTATATTTCATTTAATTTAATTTTGATATTCTGCCTTTTGATAATTACTTTTTAATAACTGCAAACAGATTCAAAATATTAAAACTGAGGGACAGTCCATTTTTAAGTCAACATAAAATCAAAGAGTTATCAGTTCAAATAAAACCAAATGTTCAGATTCCACTGCCATAAAAAATTTACAGTTTAAATTTTCTAAGAAAGATTATTAATTTATATATGAAAATTAATTTCACCACACTGCATACTTCTCTTAGTGCTGCTGYAGAGAAWTTGGTGCCTTCTAACTCAAAATATAAACAATATAGAACATATCTATTTTTGCTCACTGATAAAAGGTAGATAAAGTTTACCTGTAATTCAGAATAAAAACGAACTCTGTCCTCAGTTTTGTCAACATTTGAATCAAAGCAACTACAGATAATGGATGGATGAATCACATAAAATTGTAAAAACMTATAATTTTACCTTGAAATGATAAATTAAAGAACATCTTTAAAAACATCTTCAATTTTGTATCTTTACCTTTTCAAGGTCCTTCAGGGGTTTTTCTGAGGCCAGGTACAAGAAGTTCCCCAGTACCGGCAGGATGGGGGGTCCTGGTGGGAAGTTCTTGGGTCTCCGAGCTTTAAGTTGAAAGAGGATGAAGCAGAAACAGAACCACAGCAGAACTATGGAGACAAACATGGTGCTGGACTGGACTCAACTCTGGTCTGGTCTCTGAAGGTTTTGGTTCTGAACTTTGATTCTTTCTTCTCAAAGTGAGTGAGGACACCAAGTAAACAACTGAATGACCAAGAAACAGGCAGTGAAATCCAACAGGGTGAATATTCAAATACTTTTAAATATCCAGGGGGGTGGACCAAGATGGCCGAGTGAGCGCACACATTCGCCAGGAGCTGATACGGTTAGCTGAAAATACTGGAGTTAAATCTTCTCTTCAAATAAATCTTCACCACTTTGACDCTCCTATACCATCAAAACAGAAAGAACGGACAATATGCCTTCAAAGCGTGACAGGAGTTGAACCTCAGAGTGTTCTAAAGTCTTGGCTCTTGAAGCTAATGCTAAAGCTGGCAATAAGCTAATAGACAACCTCCACGACTACACATGCTGCACATCTCTGTCGCTCTCTGAAGATGATGTCAACCTGAACGAGTTTCCTCCTTTGCCGGTTACTCCCAGTAAGTCTCCTGTTCCAAAATAAATGTGTGTGAATGAAAAAGCTGATCCAATCAATTCTGATAACATTGTTTCATCACTGTCATCCCTGATTAACTCAAGATCAGATTATACTGAAAAACTGGTCGGCACACAATGAAAATTGAAGGTTTAAAGAAGACCATTGATTTTGCCTGTGCAGAAATAAAAAGTATGAATGAAAAAATCTCCACCATAGAAAAGAACGCTGCTTCAGAGGAAAAATGCACAAATGAATGCCTGCAAAGAATCTGTGATCTGGAGAGATACTCCAGGCGATGGAACTTAAGACTCTGTGGAGTTACTGAGACAGAAAGGGAAGTTGTACGAGCCAAAGTCATTGAGATCTGTCAAGATGTCCTACCAGAACAGAAGACAAAGCTAGCTGAATCCATTGACACCGTGCCCCGCCTCGGCCGCAAGCATTCATCTGTTCCCAAGCCTAGAGGAATAATCTCACAGTTCTCCACACGTGTGTGCAGAGATGCTGTGTGGAAAGCAGCCAAGTTCTCTCGAGTGCTACATGGTAATGGTCTGAAGGTTGCTGAGGATCTCTCAAAACAAGACAGAGAACACAAGAACAAACTGTGGCCACTGGTCGAGAAGGCCAGAAAAGAGGGTAAAACAGCACACTGTATCAGAGGTCGTGCTTTTGTTAACGGCACTGAAATTAACCCATCTCCCAGCTGGTATAGCTCATCATTATCTTAGGCTGCATCTCCTTTATTCTTAAGTGAAGTAGCCTACTGCTCTATCTATTTTAAGGCTGGACACTAAAGGTATTGGAAGGAGCTTTTTGACGCAAAGTTCTATGATGTTACTTAACTCTGGTTTTAAATTTATAACTCTGCAGCTATTGGTTCCCTGTAGATTTGTTTAACCCTTTATTCAAGTGGTTATTTCTTAATTAAGTTTTGTTTTGTTTTAGTTACTATAGTTTCTCTTAATGCCAGGGGTTTGGGACAGAACTACAAGCGTAAAGCTTTATTTTTATTTGCTAAACAGTTAAATAATGTACTGATTTYATTTTTCTCCAAGAATCAAACWTTTTACYTGATGACTTAAAGTTTTGGATGGCACAATGGGTCAAAGAAATGTGGTTTCCYCATGGTACAGAGCGTTCAGCAGGTGTCACTACAGCTATAAATGCCTTTAATGGAGATACACGCAGAATTGGACCCTACAGGACACTATATTTTTCAGGTAATCAAACTGTTCAATAGAATATATATAATTGCAAATATCTATGTCTACAACTCCAGTAGAGAGAATAATAGTTCGCTTGACTCCTTAGAGTCAAAATTAGATTTTTGGCTTTCCAAAATTCCTAATGCCTTACTCCTTTTCTGTGGGGATTTTAAATTGACTTTAGATAACTCAATGGACAGATGGCCCCCCTTCAACCCAATCTTCACTCTGCAGATCCTCTTATTGGAAGCTAAATAACTCACTTATTGAGCATAATATGGTCAGAACTGAGATCAATATATTATAAAGTCAATATTGGAATAAAGCTAAGGTGGAAAAGTCTTATAGCACAAATTGGGAGCTCTTCAAGTATGAAGCAGGAAAGTTTTTCAGAACCAATGGTAGTCATGTTTCTATGGTTAAAAATTTTGAAGAGGAAATAATCTCTAAAATAGCATCATTTTCTCAAAGGTCACCTGATGATATTTCACAGGAAGACAGACTAACTCTTTTACACTTACAGAATAAACTTGATGCTATATATAGTCACAAGGCAAATGGAGCTTTTATTAGATCTAGTAAGAGATGGTTAGAGGAAGGAGAACAAAACTCAGAATATTTCTTTAGACTGGAAAAATATGCAAAGCACAACTATTCAGCAGTTAAATATCAATGATGTCACTGATAATGAAAAATCCACCTCTGACTTTTGCAGCACTTTCTACAAAATCTGTAGAGCTCTAAATATGATAAAGCAGCTACAGCTTAGTATTTAAATTCTGTTAATGTGAAATCACTCAATCTAAGTGAGAAAATGTGCAGACCAGCTCTGTCAGGTGATCCACCACATCTTCAGCCTGAGTCTGAGTCTGGAGAGGGTTCCTGATCTGTGGAAGACTTCCTGCATGGTTCCAGTGCCAAAGATCACACATCCCAGGGAGCCCGACCTCTACAGACCGGTGTATCTGACTTCTCATCTGATAAAGACCATGTTAAGGCTCATCCTGCACCATGTTCATCCTGTGGTGAGCCCAGCACTGGACCCCCTGCAGTTCACCTACCAGCCTGGCATCGGGGTGGAGGACGCTGTCATCTACCTGCAGCACAGATCTCTCTCTCTCTCTCACCTAGAGCAAGGAGGAAACACTGTGAGAGTCATGTTCTTTGACTTCTCCAGTGCTTTCAACACTATCCAGCCTGCTCTGCTGAGAGGGAAGCTGGAGGGAGCTGGAGTGGACAGGCAGCTGACAGCATGGGCCATCGACTACCTCACCAACAGACCACAGTATGTGAGGCTCCGCGACTGTGTGTCTAATGTGGTGGTCTGCAGCACGGGGGCACCACATGGCACTGTCCTCTCACCCTTTCTGTTCAGTCTGTACTCRTYAGACTTCAGGTACAACTCGGACCACTGCCACCTTCAGAAGTTCTCGAATGATACGGCCATCATTGGATGCGTATCAGACAGGAATGACGAAGAATACAGGGGGGTCATCAGTGACTTTGTTGGCTGATGTGAGACCAATGCTCTCCAAATCAATGCCAGCAAGATGAAGGAGATGGTCAAAGACCTCAGGAGTAAGCCAGCCACTCCAGCACCGGTGAACATCCAGGGAAAACACATTGAAACAGTGGACTTTTACAAGTTCCTGTGTGTTCACCTCAACAATAAGCTGGACTGGACAACAAGCACAGACGTCTTGTATAAGAAGGACCAGAGTCGACTCCACCTACTGAGGAGACTGAGGTCCTTCGGTGTCTGCAGGACTCTGTTAAAGACATTCTACGACATGGTGGTAGCATCTGCCCTTTTCTATGG